GAAGAAGGGCCGCCCCCCCCTGCCGGACCCCCCCTGCCATGCTTCCCGGGCTCCGTTGCCCCTCCTACGGGCCCGGGACCGGCTTCCTAGGTGTCCGCGGGGAGGAAATCGATGAACTTCCATTCATCGATCCCCTGCCGGTTCTATTGGACCGTGAGCGATGCAGATTGCATCACTCCCGGTCCCTGGGCTGTCAGTTCTGGGCTCCTGCAGCCCAGCTATAAGCTATTGATGTGCGATCTGCACTTCAATAGCTTATTTCTAGTGTAAAGGTGACACTGGGGGTCTTTTGGACCCCCAGCATCACCTAAAAGAGTACCTGTCACCACCATCTGCTATCACATGGGGGGGCTTGTAAGCAGTTAAATTTAAAAAAAAACAGTTTTTAAAATTAAAATCAAAATAAATAAATCTAATAATAATACATTTTTAAAAGTCCCCCGCCCCCACGAGCACGCGCGTCGCCACGTAAACACGCGTCGGGTGCGCCTACGTATGAAAACGACGAACGTGCTACACATGTTGGGAATCGCCGCGCATGCCGGAGTGAGAGCAATAATTCTAGGGCCAGTATTTTGGGGTATCTCTAAATTGATGACCTGTGGGGGCTTTTAAAGTGTCTTCTGTGGACTTTTTGGGGTACTGCAGTTTTTCGCCGTTTCACGGACGCACGCAATTTGTAACCTAGGCATGTTGGGTATCGTTTTACTCGTTGTAACCTCATCTTTTATATTTCATTTAAAAAATGGGTATTTTGTTGTGTTTTGGGGCATTTAATTAAATTTGTCACAAAATTTTGGGGTTTAATAAGGAGTTGCGCTAATATTGCGCAGCATAAACATTTGCAACTACCACCATTTTATTGTATAGGGTCTTGGCATTCAGAAAATATATAATGTGTGGGGGTTTTAAATCATTTTCAGGCCTAAAATGTGGAATATAACATGGGTGCAAAAAATGAAAAAAAAAGGCCTCAGTCATGAAGGGGTTAAAAAACAATATTTTTTTAAAGTTTTTTTTCATTGATTCCTGTCCCCCAGGACAGTACAGAGATTACCATACACTCTTTATGGCCAATAACTTGCATATAAGCCCTCTTAAAGGGGACAATTGTTTTTGAAAGTTCTACCCCCAAAGGCTCGCATTGAGTTCGAGTTTGAATACAAACTTTTTGGATGTTCAAAACTTCGAATTCGAACCAAACTCAGACCTGTGCGGCTCATCACTACCAGTCACCCCCCTTCTTGCCAATGCCATCATGTACAATGCAGGACCACCCGCCACATCCAATGCTTATAAAGTGCTGCGCAAACTGTTGGCGCTATATAAATCCTGTATAATAATATAGTGGCTTGTGCATTGTACATAATAACGTACCAGTGCTTGCTCACATTCCAGGCAAAGCTAGAGAGCGGGGGAACAGAACACCAGCTGTGGCTGGGCTGGAGTGCTATAGAGCAAGGTAAGTATTACTCTGTATTAGATCAGTCTCAACCCCTCAACACTAAACAGATATTCATTCTAGATCTGCAGAAATACACTACTGTGCTGAGATCCCACTGTGAACACCTCAACACTAAACATAGGAAATCATTCCAGATGTGCAGCAATTCACTTCTGTGCTGAGATCCCACTGCTCTAACATCCTCAGCCCTACATGTAGGGATCCATTCCAGATCTGCAGCAATACACTCCTGTACTGAGATCCCACCATCTCAACACTAAACAGGTATTCATTCCAGATCTGCAGCAATACACTCCTGTACTGAGATCCCACCACCACCACCTCAACACTAAAACGTAGGGATTCATTCCAGATCTGCAGCAATACACTCCTGTACTGAGATCCCACCACCACCACCTCAACACTAAAACGTAGGAATTCATTCCAGACCTGCAGCTCTTTTGGGGGGAAAGGTTCTCACCAGTCAGCATCCCATCTATGAAATCCCAGGCATGAAAAGTTCTACTACAACCCCAGCCTAAATTTAGCAAAGAATACTCAGTCGCAGGACACCTACTAATTATTTTCCGGAGTTTATAATTTGCAAAGGGAAGAGAGAGGGAGCAGCAGGCAGATCTCCTAGGATCACTGACTTTCTTCATACATAGGTAACCAGATCTGTCTTGCTGTCCTTGCACTTTCCTCAGAGTGGTTATCAGCAGCAGCTGCACTCATGCATTCTGCTGGCATGGATTACCAGAGACAGAGACAGCCTGGATCTGAGGCTCAGTCATCCAGCCCTCCTTTACCCAACACCGTCCGAGAAGTTTATGTGTGCAGCAGAGAGCGGAGAGAGCCCGGTGAACTCCTATGAACATGAAATCATTGGAGTACAGATTACAAGTGGCCACTCCCTCCTTTCTGTACTGTCTGCTCTTTTATAAATAGCCTGCTAGTGTTGTATGTTTGTGAATGTTGGAGTGTGTGTGTGTGTGTGTATGTCTGCGGTACTCTTGGACTTTGTGCACAACTTCTGTTCCCCCAACTCTGCCCATCTCTGCTCACTGCCCTCTGCCTGCCTGGCTGCAATGGAGCTGTCCACATCGCCCTCCCTGTGGGCTTATGGCTCTGTCCTGCTCATCTTCTCCCTCCTGGTGTATTTGAAATGTTCCCATTCTGACATGGTTCTGACCCCTGCTCTGCTCGTCTACTTCTTCCTGCTGGTGCTCTTTGAGTGGTTCTGCCACCTGTACCTCCCCATCTTTCTAGGAATGGTTCTGCTCAGTTTGGCATGCTGCTATGTCCTCAGCATTGTGTCCCCCAAGAAAATGCTGCCGGTGGCAGGGAAAGCTGTGCTGATCACAGGTAAGTGGTCTCCATACAGTCACTGAGCTTCACTGATTTAGGCAAAAGGGAAAAGGCTGCAGAAATGCCATGCTTATTGAAAAGCATCTTAACTCAACTGTATTACATTTGTATTATCTTTCTGTGAGGATCCTGATCACAATGTAAATATTTAGGATTTGTGTACAGGTGTCAGCATCCATCTAGCCCATATACCCTGTGTGCTTGTAGTGTTATAATCCATCAGTTCAACAATGTAATGTTACTGTAGTCTATATAACATACAGTTGAATGTTACTGTAGTCTATATAACATGCATGTAATGCTACTGTAGTCTATATATTATACAATGTAATGCTACTGTAGTCTATATATTATACAATGTAATGCTACTGTAGTCTATATATTATACAATGTAATGCTACTGTAGTCTATATATTATACAATGTAATGCTGCCATAGTCTATATATTATACAATGTAATGTTACTGTCGTCTATATAACATTAAATGTAATGTTACTGTAGTCTATATAATATACAAAGTAATGTTACTGTAATCTATAATATACAATGTAATATAACTGTAGTCTATATAACATACATTTAATGCTACTGTAGTCTATATAATATACAAAGTAATGTTAATGTAGTCTATAATATACAATGTAATATAACTGTAGTCTATATAATATACAAAGTAATGTTACTGTAGTCTATAATATACAATGTAATATAACTGTAGTCAATCATAAACAATGTAATGTTACTGTAGTCTATAATATACAATGTAATGTTACTGTAGTCTATAATATACAATGTAATATAACTGTAGTCTTTATAACATGCAATGTAATGTTACTGTAGTCTATATAACATACATGTAATGTTACTGTAGTCTATATAACATACAATGTATATATAGAGTACATTTAGAATGTAGGATCAGTAGTCCTTGGTCAGCACATTTTATTTACATGTACGCTCTACTATCACACTGCACATGGCTTTGTATATATGTTTCAGCCAATCAAAGGAAAGGGCTGCAGGGGGCGTGACAGCCAAGTGCTTTATAACTCCAGTGTTATGCTTGATAGACCAGTAATAGGCGATACCTACAAACTACATTTTTAGGGCTCATGCACACGGGCGCAAGAAATCCGTATGCTTGTTGCTTTTAATGCCTCTAAATGCAGCCCGATAATAGCCAGTGTGTCCATGCACATTGTGGCATTTAGATTCGTCATCTAGAACAGCATTCAGGGACGCAAAAAAAAAAAAAAGCCCCTAACCTGGATATGGAAAGGAGTGCTTTACACACATAAATGCGTGCAAACACGTAAAATGTGTGTATGGGGGTACTCGTGTAAATTCATTCTAGTGTTTTGAGAATATATTAGTAATGGAATTTTACACACATATGCTTTAAGGGTCAGTTTACAACATATGCGTTCATACTTTTTTAAGTGTGCACCACCGGAAAGCGTCTGTGTGAACCGAGCCCATTTATGACAATGCAAATTACCTTGTCTTGCATTTTGAGCTGCCCATAGAACCTAACAAAATGTCACTTCAATAAAGTTTTAACAAATTAAAAAAAAAACGGTGCAATGCACCTCAGTGAAGCGCATCAGCACTGTCCGGGGACCTGTACACCAGCAGCCGTGTGGTTGAGCGCAGCTGCTGCTGTGAACAGACCATTAAACACTATGGGGGGAATTTATTAAAAACTGGAGCAGATAGAACCAGGGGCAGTTGCACACAGTAACAGTAAATCTTCAGTTTGTTCAGTTAAGCTTTAAATATAAAAGAAAAAAGCTGATTGGTTACTTTGGGCAACTGCTCCAGATTCTGTCTGCTCCAATTTTTATCAATTCCCCTTAATATGTGCACAAGCTTTATGCACCATTACATGCTCATGCTTCTGGCAGCAAGACCCAGCAATTACATGAATGATTCCTTTTGCCAGTGTGCGTGAGCTCTTAGGATTAGTGTAGGCTAGAATTTGAGGTGCGTTTACCATACGTTTACTTGTATGTGAGGAACGAAGATAACACATAAATTGATGTCAAAATGACTTTTTCTTTGCATTAATTGGAGTAGTAGGAAGAGCAGTGAAGAGTACAAACCCAACCTATACAACAATAGCGACCTGACAGTAGGAGCGCATTCGAATTCAGCTTATATCAGTTTAAGATCAATAATAATAATCATGAGAAATGATTGCTGATCAATTAAACCATCTTCATTGGCTTTGTATACATTGTATATAGTATGTATTGCATTCCAGTGGTGACGGAATATAAACTACTAATGCTGTAACAGTATTGGTAAATAAGCCCATTCATGTGGATTTATCTAACATAGTTATGGCAAAAGCAATAAAGCAACACAGTATTAAGCTGGCCATGCACAGCTTGTACTTTGGCATATTCCTGCTGGATCAGCCAAAATTCAAGCCATGGGTGGCCTGTTGGCACCAATCCGGCTCCACAAACTTCAACTGCAAAATTGAAGGAGCTGGCTGAAAATTTGTTGGCCGACAGTGACTGCATTCAATCAGAGGGATAGTCGTGGGAGCCGGCTGCCAGAATTCAGTAGTTGGCAGATGGAGGTTCCTCCATGCTTACTGTTTAGCATGGATGGCAGAATTGGCTGATTCTGTTGAAAGCTATCCAAGCATGGCTAACTTTAAACTGGACATACAGTATTTGTTCATCTGATTGTACAATCTCCTTAGATCTGTAAAATGTGAAGGCCTGTCTAAACCACCCAGCTAAACCACCCATTCAGTTGGTAGACCCCTTGCAGGCCCTTGCACCGGATAGTTGTCAGAAGTTCTAAGGCGATTGTACAGTCACACTATAACATATATAGTCAAATTCATTGTGAATGTTGCCGTCCAGAGGCGGTGAAAGTACAGTTAACACATCATGAGATATCAGCGTTTGCTAGGGCAAATATTTTGGCCATTGCTACCTACTTCTAATATATCACACACAAGGAACCAAACTCCCACACTTTAGTAAATGGATCAGTGACAGGAGTTCAGATCAGTTGTTGTGGTCTATAGAATGAAGGTGCCCACAGATGTTGGACAGCAGTCTTCAGGTCTGGCCATTTTCTACTGGATCAGACAGGAGCCTGCAGATACCACTGGCAGCCATTCTTGGGGAATTGTATTCAGCATATGTCTGTGAAGGTTCTCATTCATCCAAGCCGTGGTATATTTGTAAAAAATAAGTTAAGGCAACTGGACTTGCTGTATTTTTTTTCTTGAAGACGTTTCACTGGTCACATCTTCAAGACAAAAAGTTGCCTTGACTTATTTTTTTACAGATGTATTCAGCATGTTGGAAAACTTCTCTGATCATAATTCTTTTTTACCTAATAAGCCACCACACAGTTTTGGTGTTAAAGACACATTGTAACATACACTGGCTTAACTGGGTATTCATTAAACATCTCTGGCATGGATGGAGATGAACTGTTTTGAGTATACTAGTATGGAGAATACCGTTTTTAGAGGTTTTGCTAATCTTCTATGAGAACATAAAAGTAATACAAGTATATGATAACCATACGTGCATACCTTGTTTGCTTGTTGGAATCAGCCCTAGAGCAACCATCGCCTGCTATTGGCCCAGACTATGATTACCATCACCCATCTCGTTCTTGTGTCCACGTTCGGCAGCTGTATTGTGATCTTAGTGTATGTAAAGTGTAGAGACGCAAAATAATTTGCACTGTCTGTTGACCAAGGGCCTGTGTCAATGGGTTTTTGTTGGGTTCAAGCGGGCCATGCATTTGCATACATGTCTATAGTAATGCAAAACCTTCTTAAAGCAGTTGTAATGGAGTGCAAAGGGAGGTCAACTGCACATGTCAATTCTGAATGATCTCAGATAGGTCTCAAACTGATGCCATAGACACAAGCCCAAAGTCCATCAACACTGGCCCTTACAGTGCTTCAGTGTCAACCATAGACATAGAACAGGAGCAATATCACTCTACATTTCATCCCTGGTGTACACCCCTCAGATTTACTATTGTATGTTAGTGCTGGACTAACATTGCTACAGATGAATTACTAGTAGCTCATGAATTACTAGTAGAGTCATTCTTCAGTCTTTTTTTTTTTTAAAGTGTCTGCAAATTTTTTATTTATGCTTAAAGCCCATTTCCACCTTTTGAAAAAAAACCTAATGCCAGCAATGTACACCAAGTATACATGAAGCAGACATATGCAGTGGATGTATATGGACATAGACACTTTTTTTAAGCTTTCCACTTCATATCTGCCTGGAAATTTCTGTCCCTGTGCTGTGCAAGCATTGTGTGTATATCTCCCTCCCCCTCCGTACAGTGTATTGTGTGCAAAGGCAGAGCTGGTGTTTACTGATCATGTTACAATGGGTGACAGGGAGGGGGAGAGCTGATTACAGTCTGACACCCTGGTGTCAGACTGATTTTCTGTGGAGAAATGTACTAATTTTTAGGCTTCAGGCCTAATAAAACCTTCATAAAAAAAAGAAGAAAGCCTGCAATGTGAATGTGCACATGTGTACATCATTACTGCACCTCTTTGTTACCACAATAAATGCTAATCACTTACAAAGGTGGAAATGGGCTTTAAACCTCCATGTTGTCTGATAGACATTTGACTGTATGACTGCTGTATACTTTGGTCAACCCCTTTGTCACATGAAAAAGCTTGACCACGCGAGTCATGTGGTTAGGATCACATTCTCCCAGTTAGGACAGACCCCCAAGTAATCTGTACTGCAAAGTCATTTGGTACAAATATTGGATTATATAAAAGTCATAACAATTAGGTACCGACTAAGTATCAATTTAGACTAGAGAGTTTAATGAAAGCAGATTTGCTGTGGATAATCTTATGTGTTCTGCTTTCTTAATGTATTCTTTATTTCTCTACACTATTTGTTTTATCAAGAACAAATATATATAAATAATATAAATCTTCTTACTAGCACCTTAAACAGAAAAACTGTTCAGTGCC